AAAATATTCTAAATGTATCAAGTTGACATCAGGAGAACCTTATCAAATAAAGAGAATTTTTTGCAGAACCATGCAAACTAGAATAAGCAGGTCACCCAAATTACAGGAAGGCACCTATGTCTACAAGATCTAGTTGATCAGGTGTCCCAAAACTGATGAGAAAGTACTCTTTCAACTGTGCTTTCTTTGTGTACATACGGTGGCCCAAACTACTCGAGTAACAAAGTAGCACGCCGCTTGTAACCTGAGCTATTCCAACCACACATCCAACGGTGCCACAAACAGTAACAGAAGTGCAAACGCTAATGAGGCACGACGGGTTCAGGCCTCCGCTCTTAAAAAGGGCAACGGGCTCCCGCAGTATCACAACTCGAGTACAACTGTTTGCAATTGTCTCGCAACGCAGTAACAATGCCGGGTACTGGTGAGCCGCTGATACTCCGATGAGCAAGTTTAGCATATGTTTCAACACGTTCTCACTGGACAGAATAACTAGCCAATGGTATTGACAGCAAGCATTAGACACGGAGATTAGTTAACACAATTAATTCGCCATTTCTAGTTGTGTAACACAGACAAACCAGCCCATTATCCGGAAATAAACCTGTGAATGCATAGAAGGTGGAACAGAAGGTGCTAAGGAACAGAAGGAAGAATTCGTCTGCACGCTCCTCTGTAAGGGGGATAACACATCCATAAGTATAGGTAGAAATTCGTCACATCTAGACTCACTCAGACAGCCATCACACGCCCGGAAAAGCACTGCAAGCCAGTGGATAGTGAGCGGCGCTGTATCACATCTATTGACTTATTCACGATGGCCGTTGTCGTCCCCCGTAGCTCAGTGGTCTCAACCACGGGCTGGTAACAGTCGAATTGCGGGTTCGAGCACTACCAGGGTCCGATGGAATGCGCGCTGCTGATGATTCCCGAAAGGATGAAACGCGTACAGTGCTTTTCCGGGCGTGTGATGGTTGTCTGAGTGAGTCTAGATGTGACGAATTTCTACTTATACCATTCAACTCCCCCTACTACTCCTGTGTAAACATCCATAAGTGTCAGACTGATGTCGCGGAGCAGGGAAGTAGAGCGAAAGTGCGCATACGATGAACACACACAAAAAAGATAGTGGCGCAGATAGCTAGGTCACGACAATGACGTTTCGAAATAGCCACTGCGGTAAACAGTGCACGACCGCCTCAACAACCAAAATTGTTCAAGAGTTTATGTGCTCACCAAGTATGGCAATCGGATTGCAACACTTTCACCACTAGGCGAGGTAACATCATCAGCGCCTAGTGTCCCAGCCTTCATGAATACGAAACGACACTCGGTCACGTAGTGTGCACAACAGACCACCAAGCATGGGTTGCCGCATATCAATTTGAAAAAGGCGTGGAACGAAGGATGACGACGGACGATGGAAAAGGTATCAAGAAATATGGGCGATATCTCAACATTCACTGCACTATTTGCCTGAAAGTGATGTTCGACAATTGGCGGGCAATTAAGGTCAATGATAGAACGCGGAGTAGAGGCGGCCAAGTGAGAGGCACTATACACCAAGTAGTCAAAGTAAACCCGTTTCAGAAATAAAAACATTCACAGCAGATGTATCAGGAACCTATCCCATTGGGCACTAAGTGATGCAGAAAGATAAGTCCCCATCAAACGACTCAATTACAACCTAAAAGACGTCACGGCCACAGAGTTTCCCGCCGGATTCGCAAGTGCAATACAGTCAAAACCGGGACTGACAATGTTGGGTCGGCAATGCCCAAATGTGTAAACAAAGGACTATCTCCAGAAGGCCTGGCAGGTGGTAATGCGTTTTGATCCAGGTCGCATCACACAGTTGTTAATAAGTTTTATGTGCTGTAAAAGTACATAATCCGTTTTCGGCAGCATTCAGGCATATATTGTGGATATTCCGTTTGCACCGCCAGTCTTGTGGAGGCATAAAAGCACGTGTATGTGAGGAAATATCACTGCATCAAAATGACAAGCTTCAGCATTCAACAGGAACCGCGACATATTCTCACCTTATTAAAAAGGATTCTGAGCTGAACAAGTGCAGAATTCAAAGTAGTCACCAAACACAAGATGCATATTTTTTTTATAGAGGTTAAGGTAGAATAATACCATTCTGCATGGGTCGGCCGAGGGTTCACAGATGTGACTGGTACGAGGCACAACCACACAATAACACACAGAGGGATTGCGAGAAAAATAAATAGTCAACAGCAACAGTAATTCACAGCGGTGAAAAGACAAGAATGCGATCAATCAACAATAAGTAAGGTATCCGCAGGGCACATACATTCCGTGGGACCAGTTGTCGTGGTGCACCAGAGAGGAACCGAATACGTGACTGTCACAAGACCAAATGTGCCGGGGTGAGAAGTAGACTAAGAGATAACTTAGCCAACCGGAACGGATAGCAGTAGTATTAAAACGAAGAAGCCTTAGTTCAGTTTGAACAGTAAAACAGATAGCAGAGTGAACAAGAAAAAAATATCAGATGCTAACGGATGTGGAATCTCATGGTATCGAAAGCGATTAAGAATGACGAAAGTGGGGCCGGATAGATGCATACGTAGAAAAATAGAAAACGACACCCCAGAACAGAATTTTTTGTATAAACGAAGTACTATAATGAATGGCATAACAAGAGAGTGTGAATTGGGTTCTTTCTTGTCATTTTGTCGGATGGGGTCTTTGTGAACGGCCACAACAATGATTAGATCCCTGAATGGGTCAGCGCGGTCAAGAAGCCAACAGCACTCTAAACCTCGTCCGTACATTCCTGGTTCCCGACTAGTTCTTCTGATAATTTTACTTCCAGTCAATGGTGGTTGGATATGTACTAGTATTATCATTATGATTAATTTAGTTATGTGTCAAGTCAACTCGATGCATCGCATTACGTTGCGCAGTTAGTAGTAGACAAACCGAATGGATCTGAAGGTAAACGGCCGGAACCAACACATATCATCCCGCTGAAAACTTAATCAATATTTGGTGTCCGATTGTAACTCCTACTGCCTCGGCGTCTTTTGGTCTTACCGCGGATAACAAAGGAAGTGTCGTTTGGAGGAGTATGAGTTAATCCAGCAAATAGAAGTCGCAGTTGAAAGGCAGCGAGAGTAGTTGCCGGTCAGGACGCAAATGAGGATCCCCGATTTGTTCTCCAAGCTAAATGATTTGTCCGCAGACGTATCACCACCAGGTTAGGTGACATCTCCTGAGATTCGGGAGTGGCATGGATCATATCGCCCTGTACGAGGGCAGAGCAATAAGTTTCCGGATACGCAGTAAACAGATTAAGCGCAGATGACTTGACAAGAAAAATACGAACTGTACTCCATTCGGAATATTGTTCGGTGATTTCAACCCACAGAATCATATAACAGCAGCCCAGCATAGCTCACAAGTCATAAGGATCGCTATACTCTGACTGTAAGTATGGGACTCAGTCGATGTCACTGGAGGGCGATGATTGTCTATGACTGCAAATGTGGTTTGAAGCAGCACCAGAGCGACTGGGTGCTGCGTCTGGTGATGATGCATCATTAAGGACCACCGTGTTTGAGTGGTTTGCCGAATTCAAGTGTGAAATGCGGTCCCTGGATGAGAAACGAGGTGGTTGACTTGTGGACGCCACCATCGTGGACAACAGTGTTGCTGTACAAACGATGTTGGAGGAGGACGTGCGGGTGACTGTTGCACAGCCGGGGAAAGCCATAGGGATCTCTTCGGGATCCAGCCGCACCATTCTACATGAGAACCTCAGCCACAGATTTGTGCACGCTGGGTACCCATCAGCTCAGTGAGAACCATAATACTACTCGGGTAAATTGGTGTCGCACCATGCTTGTCACGTTTGCTGGTGGGCATTCCAATGCTGTTTAGGAGATCTCAGTGGTGATGTGTCCTGCGTGGACATTTTCGACTCAGAGACCAAGCAACAATCGGCTCAGTGAACGGCAGTTGGTGGGGCGTCGCGTCAGAAATTCCAGCGTGAGCGCAGTGTGGCCAAGCAGATGGTGGCTGTGTTCGTGGCCAAAATCGGTCGTGTGGCTAGTGTACCACTCGTAGGGCAACGCACAGCCACCGGAGACAGGTATGCCACCCACTGTGTGCCAGAAGTAATGGAAGCTGCAGCCAGACGTCGACCAAGGACTCGAGTGCGAGGCACCTTGCTGCACCATGACAAGTCCCATGCTGTCACGTTTTCTGGCTAGAGAATGCCTCGAGTAAGTTGGTCACCTACCCTACAATCCAGACCTGGCTCCGTGTGACTTTCTTGTGCTCGCAAACGTCTAGTGCATGAGGCGTGGAATCCCCTACGACTCTAGAATCTGCAGTAGTGGCCGGTATTGAGCTACTTGAAGGGTTACCCGCTTCGGCATGGTCTAGCTGCTTCTCCAAAATGTTTGAGCGCATGGAACTGTGCACATTTGCTGGTGGAGAGTACTTTGAGAAAATGTAGTGCTTATTTTATGTAAAAAATAAAACATTTGCGCATATGGAAAAGTGTTTCTCTATCCTCGTATAGTGATTAGACGTGCGTAAACACATCACTCAGCGCGGAATCCAACCCGTCAGCTTCACAGCTGAACTTTCCACTCTCGGGGCGGAAACCGGTGACAGAAGCCCGAAATGCACAAGCGCTACTTAGAAATGTACCGGTTGGCTACCACAGACAAATACACAAGTCAACCAGAGCTATCCATTAAATAAAAAAGGAACTTAATTAGAAGTCGTCTAATACTCCGTTTGATGTCATTATGGAAGGATGCAGGATGAAAAACAACATTCATTATCGTACGTCTTGAGGTGTGAGCAAATACATTTGACATGAGTCGCAGGACGAGGGGATTTGTTGAGGTAGAACATCAACAAGTTTTGGCACATTCGGATTAGCTTGTGGAAAAGAATTTAATAACACATGAGTCAACGGGCCTTCAAAATAAATCATGGAGAACGCGAAAACTCACTTATCACAGGTGTTTCGTGACAACGATCATCGGATGCAGAACTCCTCGTGATACGATTCGGCACAGAGGTCGAGGTGGACATCTTGGTGGCTAATGGGCTAGACGTCGACGACACATACCTGTGATACGGTATTAAAAAGCGGACTAAAGACCTCTCAATAGGGAAAGGCAAAAGAAGAAACGACTACACATACTACTAATATGTCGACGGAAAACTCAAGAAAACCGTGGCAGGTCCGATCTACAGTGGCACGCTTACCCAAAGGACCGAAACGATTGCATGACACGGGAGCGGAACAAAGTGTAACCAAGTAAATTGCACAACAGATTGTGACCAACGCCGTGAACTGATAATGCATAAACTAGGTGGCACGAAATATTGCTGTTCGCTCCTAAAGTAAAACATTCGGGCGGTCTAATTTGTGTTCAGAAGTTAGTAGTGAGCTGCATCCACGATATCGCTTTGAAATGACGTTGGAGAACGAAATACTCGAAAGTTAGTTTAAAGTAAGTAGTAGTCACCATTGGGGTAAATTGTGAACTGTGGATAGTCGAAACACGGGAAAATATGCGACGAAATGGATTTCTGCCTACATCACTAGGGATGACTAGTTATCGTGAAAGTTTGGTGGGAAGAGTTAGATCGCCATCAGAACATGTGGTGTCAGAGGTGACAGGTTTCAGAGCTCTGACTGCCCAAATGGTCATAGTTGACCACTGAGTTATTCCGGTGTTATGGAGTGGAAAGGAAAGTACAGCTTGTAAATAAAAATTGAAGAAAACGAAGCTTATGCCCAAATAGTGTGTCCAATTGGGAAAAATGGTAAGCATTATGGAACAGCAATACATACATCGGGTGTGAGCAGTAGTGGAGATAAAGTTGTCACTCCCGATGAGAAGTTTAACCAAAGAATAAATCGGGTTAGGTATAAAAATCCGCAAGTCACCGGAAGATGGTTGTTAACGGACAGGAATAATAAATTGGAGCCAGAAGAATTGTAGATACTTGAGAATTCGAAGTGAACATGGGGCCATCTGCAGTTGAAGTGCATGAGACGTACTAAAAGTTGTTTGTTGACATGTCATAGTAACAGAATGATCTCTTAACGCAAATCAAAATGCAAGCAATGCGATAGAATGATAACAATGACAGAGTACTTTTGGCGTTCACAAGGCCGGAAACACACAACAGCTACGGCTGCCGGTGGTGAGATGACAGCTATCGAATTGGCAATTAATCACAGAGCAAACAAGCCGGAGCAAAACATCGTCTCACGCGTAAGCAACACTTCAACAGCCAACTGCTTCAAATAGACCAGCCGATGTACAACATGATCACATAGCTTACTAAAGACGAAATACGGAAGACAAGTGGCTGGAGTGAGCGCATACACGAAAGCGAATAAACTAGACCACCAAGAAAAAGGTCCACAAAACACCGGGATTCAGAATTGAAACTGATTTGAAAATGAAGAAGCCGTGGGTTCTAGTACCTCTCTCTTCTCCTTACCGAGTGAATGAAATGAGGAGCTCCGAACGGGTGAAACAGCCGTCTGGTATCGTATTGGATGGACTGTGTATTGGCGGCCAGTTTCCTTTGAGATTAAGAGTGTAAACTACATAAACGGTGATCAAACAACCCATGAAACCATAGGTTGTGTAAGAGTTGCTGTAGAAATATGAAAAGAGTCGCCTAAGAGAAAAACTAGGTCCCCCGGTGCATAGACCACAAGTCGCATAAGCACTATAAGTGGTAAAACATGGAAGCTGGAGGAAAGCTAGTAGTACGCAAGGTTGTGAAACCTGGCCCATTAGAACAACAGAGGTAAAGAGGCTAGTCACGTTCGACCACCGGTGCCTTCGCAGTTTGGCTCATATCTGGTGAGAACAGCGGTTGAGCAAACAGCGTGTTCGACCTCCTGTATTTGGTACAGGAAGAGCGAGTGAACCGCTCAGCACCGTTATTTCACGCAACAACATCCGGTGGCTCGACCATGTGTTGCGCATGCCAGCTCACAGACTCCCGAGACGTGCGACCGCGGTGTAGATGGAAGACGAGGAAGGGAGGCCAACAGACGACATAGTCAAAAAGAATGAAGACCCTCACTTCGGACTTCGCATTGGTTGGTGTCTACCCAACGCCAGACTGGGGTCCAACGGACAATGAAAACGTTTGACTGGATATACTTGTTAACATGGCTAGGAGCCGACCTCAGTGGCGCTTGTGTTGTGAGTTTCGTTGTCCCCCTCTAAGATCGCGATCTCATTCATGAAGCATAATATAACTTTTTGCGGCAAAATAGCCGGCCACTAGCTCTCTGAAACGATATCCATCCGCTATCGGTGGCTCAGCTACCGTGCCTGTGTTGCGTCTCTTTTCTCTCTCGTGTACTGCAGCACAAGGGCTGAGCTGTTCCCACTAGCTAAAGTGTATAACGTTGATGATCAGTACGCATACATAATCACCAAAAGTAAGCCGGTATCGGGGATTTGAAGCTATACAACAAAAAGGGATATCGATGAGTAGTAGAGAGGATTTTTGGTAGAATTCAGCTAACACATCATTGTCACTCTCAATCAGCAGGTTTAGGCTAGTCTGGAATAGCATCAGACGCCGGCGTTTTGACATGCTGGGTCTAATCAGTGGTGCGCCTTCCAGCGCACCACTAAAGAGGAATAAGAGGAGGATTGCAAAAGACCCAAATTCCCAGAACAAAAGTTCAAGCTGAGTAGACACGCCTTGGCCAACACGATGTGGTCACAGACAGTTGATCATCGTGGCAACGTAAGGCGAAATCGGTCTTTCTGTGGCTTATATTGCCTCGCGTCACCATCACCACTCTTACATTGCAGATAACTCAGTGCCTTTGACATCGTAAGCAGACACTCGAGGGCTACCGTTGTATAGATACTAGGTGAGTGTTGTGCGTGTCTACAGAAGGATCCTTTACAGGATAAATATGGACTATATCCTTCCCACTGGAGCACGTCGTACAGGTTCCACAGGGACCACTGTATCGAGACAGAAAACAAGCGATGCCAGAGGATCTAACTAGAAGTGAAGTTGATAGGAGTAACAATCACAGCGGTAGCGACGGCAACAACCGACCAAATTACGTCACCGAGTGAGTCCCTAAGCACATCAGTGGCCTGTCCAATGTGTCTGCGTGCGTGTGGATTACGCCTTATGTGACGCAGTTAACTAGTGCAATATCCGGTACTGAAAGTACTGCTAGCCTTATAAGGCTTTGACAAGTGGCTAGCAAAACACGGCGTACCAAGCACGATGGGGTAAATCCCAATCGGATGGCGCAATTGGTGCCTTCTTGATGTTTGTAACTAGGGTGTCGGTAGAAGTAACGCCTGCGTAAGTGATCCAGTAATTGGAAATACTTCTCATATAAGGTACTAAATGAACCTCACGAATATCATGTGTGGATTTAATAAACAGGATTAAAACCACCATGGAAAAATCGCAATACGGCCACACTTGTAGTGCTAATATGACACCACCGGATTACCCGAGCCTAGGAAAGCTATCAGGGGGATGGTTACGAAAAAATATGCGACCAAGACAGCAACAATATGAAAAGATGATGGATGACCATGTTATCCTATTCGAACATTCTTCGTGATGAGAACTTTAAATCGGCAGTTCGCTTTCCATTAGACATCATTTTCAAGCTATGTACTGCAGAAATCCGTTTAAAGAGAATACCTTGATAAGTTTGGTCAAACTAATGCCAACACCATGCAGGAAGTCATACTCTACTCATATTACGAATACAAAAACACGATTCGCGATTTGTTCAGTTTCGCCACAGAATTTTAGGCCAATGCAAACGATTCACACAAAAATGTTGTAGTAAAACTTTATTTTGTCGACTGGATACAAATTCTGTGGACTCTATTCAGAAACGTGCGATTCCTGATCTGGAATGTGGGTCTGTTTACTCGAATAACAACAGTACAACCTTTTCATGTTTGTTTATTCACTTGTAAAGTTATGTGTTATGATAGTTTGAAATGCCGAAAATGTACCCATCCGGGTAGATAAGGCCCATCTTGACTTGAGTTGAAAAAATATGCCTGAGTCGAGCCAATATAAACCAAGTTGAAATCCTACACCGCCTTCTTAGTAGGAAGGACGATAACCATTATCGAGTGGCGGTGTATGGAGGTAAATGTAAGATCAAATGGGCTGGAAGACAACAAGAAATCGCCGACTGCAATTCTCTGAGGTTCATTTTGGCCTGGACTGTTTCTCATGCGTAAATACCTGGGAATGGGAATCGAGACCAGGCACCAGGCTTCGTTGCCGAGGTATGGAATGGTGAGCGTGGATACTTGGGTACCGAAGGAGTGAAAAGGTTGTAGCACATGTATGCTAAACACACAGTTACCAAAACCATATGTAGGAATCACTTGAATGTTGTCGTGGTGTCAGTTGAACTTAGAATGCTGAGCTGAAGGTGTGGGAATGAGTTATACTCAGAATAAGTTCTGACATAGAGAAGAAACGAACGTGCAACTACAAGTAGAATATGGTTTGCTAATTTTGTGGAAAGATGGAACCATTGAACTTTATGCTTCATTGGTTGTCAAGACAACTCGGGACATTCTACTCGGGTACGAAATCTAATCCCAATGTGAAAGTAACGCATGTGGTTGGAACTGACACTATGTCTTATCGCCGTGAGAATTCATTACTCTCTGGAACGATATTAAAGGCATTCAAGATGGCGGACAACAAGACGACTCTGTAGATGGGATAGCGTGCTGTGGTGAATCTTCTAACGCTGGGAGGGGGGGGGGTAATCAAATCATCCGAAATTTGTATAGTAGCCTCTGGTCACCGTATACAGTATTGGGACACACTAGATTGCAGTAGATCAAGGGTACAAGGCTCCATAAATGCATGTGCGAATCCGACTGATGCGGGTCCAGAGCTTACAAGTACTACTCATGGGAAGATTCGGCGCGTGTATTATAATAACATTACAAACGTGCTTGGATATTGGGCGGTACCCGCCCAAAAACACCCCACAATCGGTTTCAAACAAAGGTACCTAGTCCTTAGTCGAAAAGAGTAAGCACAATAAATTAAAAGCAACCGCTGTTCCGAAAAGTTAGTACCATACGGGTTTTGACCAGCACAGACGAGTTGATCGCTGTACTAAATTGAAAGGCCGTTATGACATGGAAGATTAGTAATTCATAGATTGCATCACCACATACATCATAGAGTCATCCTGACATCGCTAAGTGATTTTCACCTGTATGAACCCATTAAAGAAACACTTGGACGCCACACTTTCCATAGTGATGATAAACCAAGGCTATTCTAACAAAGGGACTCGAAGACGACGTAGCGCGAGAAGCATTCAGTGCTAATCAACGTGGCCAAAAAGCTGTCGCAAAATACTGGGACATGCAACAGAATGTACGCCAAAAGTTGTGGTATGATGAAAGTTGAGTCAGGAGATACTGATGACGACGATAAGGAAAACACTAACTCACGTGTTTGCCGAGGGAATTGCACCGTTGCTACGAATACCCCCCTCCTTCAGAATGTCCGTGGAACCATTATGCAGCAGATGCTTCCGTGCGTCGCTCCCGCCCGCACCGTTGCCAGCCAATGTGGCCAAAGTGAGGGAGTATAAATTATTGAAGCGGGCGTTGGCCAACAAACGTTCTGCAGTCGCTTCATCAATACCCATAAGATGTTGCAGAACACGTGGATCTGGGGACTGTACACCATCTGTCAAGTGGGGAAGAGAGACCGCGGGTGAATTCCAACTCCGAGCTCCAGATGCTTTTGGGGAGGAGGAGGAGGAAGATGTATGAGGGTGGCGTTGAGGATGAGTTAAGGGTGGAGAACGAACGGAGGATGTTCGACTCCCTAAGGATGGTGGTCTGCCCGAATTGGGATCTGATTTCAAATGTGGACGCCTACCATCCAGATGAGACACGGTGGGTTGCGCGTGAAAGCTGGTGGCGGGGACAACAGAAACCGGAAACCCCGAGATAGGACCGCTATAAATAGATGAGGATGGATGCGTTCTGGAATGTGGAGGAAAGCCAGTCTCCCGACTGGGAAGCTGTCCAGATGTAGCGCGCTGAATTGGGACCCGTTTGGCGCTGGATCGTCTCTGTACTCGATTGGGGGGCTTGACACATTTTGCTCCGAAAGGAGAATGGGGAATCCGGGACGATGCACTGGTGTTTGTAGTTAGTTCATCTGTCAAGGCTGCCACACTGAATTGATGACATGGGTTAGACTTGTTCACAGGAAGAGAGGATGGGTGGGATGTCAGTAAATGGCCAAGTTCCAAACCAGGTGGTTCATTTCGAGAAAATGTTGTCGTGACTGACATCGAGGAGGCTGTTAGTAAAAACAAGGTAGAAGAGGACACAATGATTGCAAGCGAAATCCGGTGGTAAAATGAGAGTCGTACTTCACCCCAACAGGAAGTGGACTGAACAGCAAACCAAGACAAAGATTATGGTAGACAGTCAGGAGCGGAAGCCAGAAGGATATTGGATGGTGGTCAGCAGTCGGATGAGTGAGCAGGAAGCCACATTGAGCTCAAGGTGATTGCGAAGTACGCTTGAAGCACAGACAGGCGGAGCCACAATAGCACACATGGAGTGAGAGATAGAAAGATGTGTACCCACACACACACACAAGCAGAAGTAATCCAATGTGTGTGTAACTGCGCCGGATACACGTATGAGCACGCGTCCGCGCCCTCGCACCTACAAACACCACGGTGATATATACAGATGCTAACAGATGAGCCAACGGAACGTGTGCGGCACTATCGTAACGATGCATAAAAACAGCGTGCAGGCGCGAGCGAGCGCACGCACACATTAGCATGAACGCGCAAGTCAAAACAGTCTGACACACTACGCCTTTCCAAGACGGATCTAGCATCCAGTTGTACACGTTGGCTCCACCCACCGCAGTGAAAGGACCTCGATGCATTGGTGCTGGTGGCTGGCTGTCAGCCTGGTACATCCCCCGTAGTGCACTACCAACAGTTAGATGCAGTGGACCAAGAGTGGCGTGGTTCGCGCCCGCCTAACCGAATGGTATGTGACTAGCAAGGTGAGAGGAAATAGACTGGAAAGAAGATGAACAATAACATCACGCGGATATGTAGAAGGCCGATGCTGTGAAACATGGGGCTCAAGAGTGACTGCTTAGTTTGACCAAAGAGTGGTGAATGGTCAGCTGGTGACTAGGACTGATAGGCTGAAACTTGCCTGTGACCTTCAGTAGGCTGCACCAGCCAATAAGTTGACCTCAATCTCTGCAGCAATGTCGAACGTGGCAAAACTTCGTGGGGTGAGCGGAGTCGGTTGAGGATAGAACCGCGATGGTCGCGATGCGCGGAAGGTGTCAAATTGGAAGTAAAAGGTAGCTGCGCGCACAATGAGAGAACTGACTATTCAAATGTCACCCCAAACACAAAACTCGGTTGGCTGATTATCAACTAATATGCTCAAACGTGTGAGATGAGCGGTGCGATCCTGTAGTGTCGAGCAATAAGCAGGGGAGTCGTTGATCGTGGTACGCACTACGAGTAGAACTAGCATTAGTAGATCAAACGGTCACGGAGATGGGGAACATGTGAGCGCCCAATGCCTCCGGGTGTTGGCGGTAAATTTACTACGCCGCGTAGGGGGACACTTGAAGCCTGTCTCGGAACAAAAGAAAAGGTAGTTACACGAGGGAAGACACAGAAACCTCAACGTTGGAGTGGGTTAAAGATAAAGAGACCGCGGCGGCCGAAGACAGCAAGAAGAGTGATGATGTGCGTGGCCACGTTTCAACAAAGTTTATCTCAGCCTACGACGTTCAAACATCACCGACTTGCCGGTGCGAAACTAAGATTACCCACCAGCTTCGAATTGCACCATGTATTACGTTGGCGTTGAATAGCCACAAAACATGCAGGTTAGAAAACGGGGGAAGCAAATTGGAAAAGTATAAGATAAAAGCTCTATAGGATCAGTTTCACAACATATAGGACAGTGTGCAGTTGGTCATCCGTGGAAGCAACCAGAGTGAGGATATCAGTGAGGTACAAGCTGCTCGTTCACACTCAGCCTAGCGCGAGTGAAAATAACAAGTTAACTAGACTAAGTTACATAATTCATCGCAGTTGACTCACCGTCAGATGGCCTGTTATATATTCGGAAAAGCACCAGACGGCCGTTTCTTTCTAATGGAACGCGGCAATAGTGCGCATCTCGGTCCCATTAGTAACCGAGCCTACATCCTCCCGATACATATGCCATGACGGCAGACTATCATGGCTCAGAACACAACTGCGATAAGGCGTGATTCATCCTCCACTGGCATGTACGCTACGAAGCGTGCAGAGGTCAAAGTTGGTCTAGAGAACAACGGCTTTTGTGCAGCAGCTATGTACAGTGTATCAATCAGGAGTTGAGGGAGCGAATGACCGATGTACTCATCTGACTGCAAATCAGGTGCAATAACTGTCGATAAAAATTTACATAAAAAATCTTCTACTCATAAGTATATTAAATAAATGTCGGATAAGCCATTAGTGAAAGGTGGACACCCTTGTGAACAAGTGGCAGTCATATGAGGCATTGTTGCTATTTACGCGTGTTTGCGGTCCAACAGGGAACGTTTTTAACTACATGACAAAATTACTTGAGCAAACTAAATTGTACCATGACACAAGTAAAGCTCAGTGAGGTTCTGAAGAGTCACTACATTAAAGTGAGATGTGGGGCAACCATGAGATACTCCATGAGATACTCCAGCTCCAGAAAGCGGACCGCACCTAGAGAAAATCGTTGAGAGTGCAACGTCTGACGTTCGCCCTAATGACAATTCGAGAGGAGGAACACGAGTTCACCGGATTTCTTGGCTTGTGGTCCCATCACAAGTGTATTCTGGCCTTTTCCACTGTCGGCCATCACATCCACTGAAGTAGGCATAAACGACTTCTGCCCGCGACGATCTCCAGTTGGTCGCTTCAGGTGAGCAGAGAGTGCATGAATCACATTCGGCAAGGCAGATACACAGTCGCATCGCGTCACATAAATAGCACACGGGGACGCATCGATTCGTCATTTTGACGAGCACACAACCTTGCATGCACAGCTACCCAGGGTCGAACTTTAGATTACGTCAAAGACAGTACGTCATCGGCACCGGTGAAAAAATACCTCTCACACAAAAGACGCTGCTGTGATGAAGTGGCCGATAAATCGGGTGCGTAAGGGAAGAAATCAAGGGAACACGTGTGCAAACACACACGTGGCCGAGTTCCGATCACTTTATGATCACGATGATAGCGAGAAAACGTGGTGGGTGAGACAAACCGCGATTGGTTTGTCTACAACAAACACATGCGTGTAAGAACGCCCAAGGGTAGAAGCATTAAAAAAAGCAGGACGTACCCTCTTGATCCGTCATAGTTGTGGGCGTCCAGTGACCGTTTGCGACAGTGGAAGTGCAAGAATGCTAAGGGGTGGGAGTGAAAAAAGTAACAGAGTCATATACTCACACGCGTAAGTTGTAAACGTCCAAGGACTGACAAGCGGAATAGGTTCAAAAAATAAAACAAAGAGTAAACTGTTTGCGATGAGCTGCGAAGTTACGCCAAGTAGACAGGCTAATGTGAACGAACAACCGAGAAGATTGATAGTCTCAGTTAACTATCGAATAGCTCAGGAAAGTAGGCTGCAGTTAAAATGTGAAGAGAAGAGGCATCAGCGGTATCTATGACAGATAATCAGTCAACCGAAAGTTGTTGCATGCGAGCTGGGATGCCGCCAATGCATCCACACTCATGTCGGAAAAAGAACTCGAGGCCGCGGTGAAAAATGTACAAGCCAAACACTTGAACCATCAGTACTTGTGGAGTGAGCTTGGTCCTATGCGACCACAGACGGTGGCAAGTATGGTGGCAGGCTGTCGAAGTGGGTACCAAAATACGAAATGGGGGCGGGGTTGCGAACCAAACGGATCCTCAACTGCATCCTTCTGCTCTAGTAGTCGACCACAGTTCGAATAATGAAGTATGGTGGAGTCAGTTGCCATCTGCATAATGCTAGTGATGAAAACTTCGAGAAAATGAGGGAGGAAAACTTAAACATGACGATTAAAAGGGAACAGAACCACATGAAAAAGACGTCATTATTAGATGAAAGGAATATCAAATCGAAATAATAGAGTACCATGCACATAGAAAGCGTGTCGTGTTTGAGGTGCGGCATTCAAACATCGACATGGCAGATTCCGTGAGCCCGATTAAGTCACTCAGCTGAGTACACCATGTTCACCTAGAAGTTGCATCGAAGCAGACACATACGAAGGTGGGTCGGCAATTGTGGTGTTTGGAAGTCGAGCATTTGATACGACAGAGAATTTGTTGTCAAACGCCAACCGAAGTTGCTAAGCATTACGGTTGTCACACCGGTGCTCAAAGACAAGGAGGTCAACATACATTAGTACCGAGGAGTTACCTGGCTAGTGTAACTTAGGCGCGCCCCTCCTTCTCGGTGTCTGTGTCCCAGTCAGTTTCAGCGAATGAAAACAGTTCGTAGCCTACAGGGTTCGCTTGCAAGAGCTACATACGCTTCCTTCCCTACTGATTGCCTTAAGCACGTATATCATCTATCATCTGCTCAGTTCACTCGACCGCAGTTGGAATTGCATTCTCTTGGAATGAAATACAGGTTGCCACCCAAGAGGATAGACAGGCTCAGCATGCAGGCCCAGTTTGAATATCTGTATGACCAGTTCAGTGATCTCTCACCAAAATTAGTGGATATCGGGCACCAATTCCTTAATACGCCAATAAGCCAGAGACGTTGCTTGAAGGCTGAACACTATACCGCGATCAGAGAATTAAAAGAAATGGCACAGGTAGTATTCCTGCAGCCAGATAAAGGATCATGCATTGTAATAATGAACAAAGATGAGTACGTTTCGAAAACGGAGTCAATTTTGGGGGATAGACGTAAGTTCCTGACAGACGCGACACCGTAGAATAACATCTTGGAGGAAAAGCAGGTGGCCAGAAAACCCCAGATGCTTTTTCTACAAGGATACATCACTGAGTCGCAACACAGGCAGCTGAAACCGACTGGAATGCAGACACCGAGAATGAAGGCGCGCCTAATTTACACAAGCCAGATAACCCATTGCATCCGATTATGTGCATGAACAACCGATGAGTTAGTTGCATCGACGTTTCGATGTCACATCACCACCATCAGTCAGGGGGAGGCTAAAGACACTGCAACGTCTTCCGGATCAGCACAGACTTGGACAGGTGACTTGTCGATTACAAGACAGACGCCTTATCCACTCGGTCACGCATCGACGCAGGGGACATTTATGTGATTGCTACGAAAGTTCTGGCTACCCCGAAATGCTGTGCATCCAACTAATTTTAATCCATAAGTCAGGATCAGATTGTTTATGTGGGCGGCTGAGGCTTAAAAGGGCGCACACACCTTACAGATTCGGACGATTGTAGTTTATTGGCAAGTGGGCGACCAGATGTGACACAGCCAATGACAAGCGGAATGAACCACAATTTCAGGTTCATAGTCGGTGAACAACCGAGATCCTGCTGTAGTAGGTCATATTTTGGAGACTAGAAGAGTACATGGAAGCATGCAGTGCTATGGGTGCCGTTTTGTTCGCCACAACGAGGTGGGTGCATTCAGTGTGCCCTGACTCACATTGTCAATAATGAGAAAAATAGAAACAACTAGGATTAAACAATGGAAATGGAAGGAAGTGCAATCAGTACGAGCGTCAGTAAATTCATAGCTGTAGCACATCTAACCGTCGATGCAATCAATACCGAGCTCGACATACGGAAGGCAGAAGACAATAAGCAACGTGATCAGATCAATCTATCGGTTCACTAAAGGACTTCTGCCGCGCCATCTTGGGGTATGATCTAACGGCGCAATATTGAGAAACACTATAGGAGAAATGATGCAGCTAGCGTGAGAGACATGAGTTCGATCAACACTATCCCCATAACCTCATGGGATAGTAGTTTCCTCAGCTGTTGTATAGACATTTTAAAATGGAGAGCAAATCTTCAGGTACGCTCATCAAATATAGGCAGCACCACAAGTGGACGCCGGCTATTGACAGAATGCAGATAAAGAAAGACTGTCATAACATGAGGACGCCCTAGAACAAGGGGAGGTGCTGAAAGCTAGCGATGAAGAGTAAGAAAAAAGTCCATGCGGCTGCCTTCTTACCTAGATGGAAGCTAAACTGAGCTTCACTGATACGCCCCTCTTGCGAGGGTCGGTGAATCAGCAAAGCGTAATGCGCGTGAGAAGCAACAGACACTAGACTATCAAGAGTCCTTTATCAAAATGTTCACTGGGACAATCCACTGACAAAAGCGAGTCAAAGGGAACATTCTCCATGTACCAAATAAAATCCAAACGAGTTACACCAATCACTTTTAACTGACACGGCAACTCAGTAATTTGTTCTGATTCAGCAGCAACAATAGCTGTAGCACCTCATCGAGAGTGGACAATATCCCATGTGGACTCAGGTGACTCAATTGTGTAGTGCACCGTTCAACCTGTCAATCTTTCTCATCTACTGTCTCATACAAAATAGCCAATTCTGGATCAATTATGAGAGTGAGCTGGAACAATAACAGTGTACCCAGTGGTGTTGGCTTCGTTTATTACACGAGCCCTCATCATCAACCAATGTGAGATTCTCAGTCAGACGACGCTTTAGTGCCATGCACACTCCGAAAGTGACTTCCCGATGGATTCATCCCGCGTGGGTCATTTAAGTAAGTTGAAGACCGAATATCCGTCCAATTTTCATGCGCCTCAAGCTGAACAGACAAGTGAATATTTGTTATGATGTACATGGGAGACGATCCCGGTCCACATTCGGTTCGTTCAAATGGCTCGTCAACATCATCAGGAACAGAAGTAGAGCAGAAATTTGAACTGATGAGTCGGTCGCGTGAAAACAATAACCAAGGAAAAAAGGAATAACAAGAGGGAGGTGAGAGTCAGTGCAAGACCTAGACGCCCTAAGCAAACATTAAGGGTCAGGGGGTCTACATCTGGTAAACAACACACGACCACAAACTGGCTATTGTACGAAGGACATCGTTGGTTAGTGAAAGTTGGCGCTGGAATGCGGATTGTCATCGTTATTACGAACAGTGGTTAACCGGTTGATGAGCAGGCACTTCCCCGAAACCGGCAGAATGAGTATGAACCAGCGACGCATATGTGAAAACTCCAGATAAGCGGTCAGAACTCACCGACAACCATGTGATTACGTGGGTTTTCCATAATAAACGGTGATGCCATGAAAAAGAGTTTACGGCCATCTACCCTTCGGTAGCCGCCGTGCAACTTGGTGCGAACAGGTGCTGGAATGTTGGATGATACCATAAAGATTGCGGTAGATGCACAGGCGGAGAAAGTCGCCGTCACTGTAAGGGGGGCAAGGTTAAGTTAGAGTTTGATAGCTAAGCGACTTTAGCATCTGTATCGCCCGGAACCATCATTATGTCTGTGCTGCTATTCAGTAGAGGCAGAAGGAGTTACCTGTGGAATTTATAGCCGATGGGCTAATGGATGCAGTTAGACGGTGGCGTGAACTTTCGGCTGCTGCTAACCCACTCTGAAACCCAGCGGTAAACACTCAGCTGTGCATTGGAGCCGTCCTAGAACAGCAGCTTCAACATCGTGAATGTGGTGATCCATAGATGCGGTATGAAGAGAGACTAAAAGTTCGTAAGTGGTTGCTCACTGATTTCTATTCTGGCAGATAAAACTCTGCACGTCTATCGACACCGATTCTGACATCGTAGATGTTGCGAGTTAATGACTAGGCATTGAATGACAAGCGAAGGATGTTCGCCTCAGTATTTTGGCCCGCGTATGGTTAGCGTATGTGAGTAAGGATATTGGTGCATATATGCGTGTTTCGGATATATGATGTATCAACCTCGAGGGAGCGTAAGGTCAAAGCAAGTGTAGTCCATCGGCCAAGCTGAAACAACGTGTAAAGGTTCAGAAATATGGTACGAAATGCTATCCAAAGTCTGAGGCTTCATTGCTGGCACGTTTAGTGAGAACAGTAGTGGCCCACTGATGATCAGCGCTGCAAGAAGACGTGTAAAAGGGAAGGGAAACAGAAAGAAAAAAAGCGCTGGTGATGGAGACTTGTGGGTTCATGAGGCTATCCGCTAATCCTCCTAAAAGATTTGTTCCAGGGTACTCGCCCCTAGTCCTGAACACTTTAACCCATAAGGAAGCATATCCACTTTGGAAGAACAATTACAGAGCCCCATGGGACTCGCATAACGTCGGTCACCTACACCCCAGGAAGATTCAGGAACATGAGAGTGGTTAAATGTGCTTGTTCTTATTGCAGCAGCGATGACGATCAACTGCAGGTGACATTTGTAAAGTATGCACCTTTGCGACGGCGGGCACTCT